ACAGAATCCCAAGGGGCCCCAAATTGTCATAAACAATCTTGGAAAGTACGAACAAAATTGGAAAATTCACACTTCCTGATTCAAATCTTACTATAAAGCTACAGTAATCAAAACAGTGCAGTATTGGTATTAAGGACAGATCAACTCACCAACAGAAAGGAATAAAGCCCAGGAATTAACCCTCACATGTATGACCAAATGGCTGTCAAAGGATGCCAAGATCAGTCAATGAGGAAAGAGCAGTCTTTTCAATAAATGGCACTGGTATAACTGGACATCCACATGCAAAAGAATGACATTGGACCCTTATGTAACCCCATGTACAAAAATTAACTCAAAACAGATCAAAATCCTAAGTGTAATAGCCAACTATAAAACTCTTAGAAGAAAACATAGGGAGAAGCTTCATGACATTGGTTTTGGCAATGATTTCTCAGATATGACACCAAAGGCACAGACAACAAAAGAAAAAATAGGCAAAATCAGACTTCAAAATTAAAACCTTGTGTGCATCAAAAGACACTACCAACTGAGTATAAAGGCAACCCACTAACTGGAAGAAATCATTTGCAAGTCATATATCTGAAAAGGGATTAATATCCAGAATATATAGAGAACTCCTAAAACTTACCATAAAAACTTGACTCAAAAATGGGCACAGGACTTAAATAGACCCTCCAAAGACATACAAATAGCCAACAAGCATATGGTGAGATGCTCAACATCACTAAATCATTAGGGAAATGAAAATCAAAACCACAATGGAATACCACTTCACACCCAATAAAATGATTATAAAAAAAAGAAAGCATTGGCAAGTTGTGGAGAAACTGGAATTCTTGCATACTGCTGGTGAGACTGTTAAAACAGTGCAGCTGCTATAGAAACAGCATGGTGCTTAAAAATGGAATTAGCATGTGATCCAGCAATTCCACTTCTGGGTATATACCTACAAGAATTGAAGGCAGAGACTGGAATAGATATTTGAACACCTATGTTCAAAGCAGCATTATTCACAGTAGGTAAATGTAGAAACAATCTGTATCCATCAACAGATGAACAGATAAACAAAATGTGGTATATACAAACAGATTATCACTCAGCCTTAAAATGGAAGGAAATTTTGACAGATGCTTCAACATTAAGACATCAAGCTGAGCAAAATAAGCCAGTCACAAAAGGACAAATAATGTATGATTCTGTATATGAGATATTTAAGTTAAATTCAAAGAGATAGAATAGTGATTGCCAGGGACTGGAGGAGCTGGGAGGGGCAGGGAGAATTGGGAAGTTACTATTTTAATGGTTAAGGAAGTTTCAGTTTGGGAAGATGAGAAAAGTTCTGGACATGGGTGGTGGCAATGGTTGCACAATAATGCAGATGTGTGTTTAATACCACTGAACCATACACTTAAACGCAGTTATAATGATATTTTTATGGTATAGAGATTTTACTGTAATTTTTCACATGTTTAAAAGGGGGCACAGAAGGGATTCCCCCCAGCCAAATTTGTGACCATTTGAGAATCAAAAAGAATGATTATTGATTTTAATAGATTGAATCTATGACAACAGGTCAGCTATTACCCCAGCTTTGAACACTGTGAATTGAACTGAAAGAATGAAGCATTTATTCTGTCCAACAGGACACTATTATTTCAGAATCACCAAATGATTACATTTGCTTATGAAAAATCCTACTTTACAAAAGAATATAAACTAATAAATGTAGAAGGAATGATGGAATTGGAAAATCATTTTACAATCTCTAAGGAAACTTTGGAATAAGGGAAAAAATATTTCGTTGGTACCCATAAAGAGAATGCTTGGTGGGGAACTGGACATTTGGATACATCCAAGGTAACATTACAGATTACTTTCTGATCACAGGGCTAAAAGTTTGAAGAGAGATCAATGAGGCTTTTTCGCTATCCTAATTCAAGGGCCACGCCCAAAGTTACCAGATGTGCTTCCTGGTGTAATGCAAGATAAAGCCTACTGTACCAAATCAGGAATCCAATAGCTTTATAATCTGACTTCAATTCAGAGAGAATACAAGAGATACATCAAGCTACATTATACCGTGAGAAAGCAATCTGGTAAATCCACAAGAAGGATCATTCAAAGGACAAAAGTTAGGATCATGAAAAACAAAAAATCAGTCCAGAAAAAAAGAGAGCTATACTAATTTCAAAGAGACTCAAGAGACATAATAAGCAGATCTAATGTGTGGTCTTAAACTGGATCCTGGTTTAGACATACTAGCTGGAAAGGGCATTTTAGGAACAACTAGGGGAATTTGAATAAAGAATTACATCCAAAATGATACTAAGAAATTACCGATTCTGACAGGTCTGATAATGTTTTGACTATGGAGGGGAAAAAATTGTCCTCTTATCTGTTTTATCAGAGCTCCAATCCATTTGATTCACCGCTATACACTTAGTAACTAGCATAAAGTAGGCACATAACAGGCCCCGGATAACTGTCTACTGGACAGATATTTCTGGGGTACTCAGCCATTTTTTCCTCTCTTTTATTCTCCTGATCCCTCACAGGCAACCATCTTTGCAGATGTCTAAACACATCTTTACCACTATCTCGCCCTTCTATTCCTCCAAGTTCGGTCTGGCCCCCATCTCTCCACAGAAACAGCTTTCATAAAGGTCACTGGCGATCTCCATTGTTACTAAGTCCAAGCATGTGTCAGACTCCTTGCTTGACCTCTCATGAACTTCTAAGACTACCAGCCACACTCGTCTTGAAATGTCTCCTTCCCTTGGCCTCAGGAACACATTGACACACTTGCCTGGTTTTTTTCCTTCCCTTCTCTCTGGCCTTCTTCCTTTGCAATTCCCTTTGCAGGTTTCCCATATGGTACTCTCAGGGCAATCTTTCTCATGTTAATGAATCCATTTCTGTTTATAGTCATTAGTCTTAGATCAATAGCTCCAGGGCAGACCTCTCCTCAATCTTCCAGCTGCCTAATGCTCAATCCATTTGGAGAGCCCAAAGGCACTTCAGACTCTGCCCCAAAATCATGATCATCTTTACCGCCCACCTACCCACAAACCTACCTCCCTTCCAGAGGACAAAAACTATTAATCTTGTTCCTTATCATCCTTTTATTTCAGAAAATGTCCCCGCTATTCTTACCCAATTGTGTAAGCCAGAAATCTGGAAAGTTGTCCTGGATGCCTCCTTCACCACCCAGATCCAAGTAATTTCCAATTTGTGTGGTGTCTACCTCTAAAACATCTCCAAGATCTACTCCATCTCTGTCTCCACTCACCGCTCTATTTAGGCAACCATTTTGATTTTAGATTGGATTATCTAAATTTTTAATCCAATTTCTAACTGTTGCCTTGAACTCTGCCCACACCCGCCAGGGCACTCTTAAAAGTACAAATCTAATTGTGATTGATCATGTCTCTTCGATGGCTCCCCATTGCTCTTGGAATAACCAACTCATGCCCTGCGTAACCTCGGTGGTGCCCAGGGACCCTGCCTTGCCTCTCCTTGGCCAGTCTCCCATCCCTCTCTTGGCCTTGATTTCATAGTCCATCTTTCACTACCTCCAAGGTGGTGTGAAGAAAAAGCCCAGCTGGGCTAACAAGATAACTCACAAATCTAAGTGTAAC